AAGACAGCAAAATTATTCTTTTAGAGAGTACAAAGGGAGAAATTGGCAGAGGGAGAGAGAGTTTGAATGAATTACTGGAAGATGGTCTGATGTAATAGTGAAGGGACGGGAGGCTTGACAGAAATATCTGCAGTAAGGGTGTTGGCTAGAACCATTATGTGTGAGACAATGAGCTGGCAGTCTGACCTGACCCTCTTTATTTTGTACCACAGCAACAGAAGAACTCTAAAAAGGGGGGAATGGAAAAATGGGGAAGCAACAAAAGGGTTTTATAAATACCTACATGGTTGGAGAAGTCATTGTTTCCCTGATTAAAGGGTTTGAATTTTTAAGATCTTAGGCTTGCTGTTCTGAGGCAAAGGTGACTGTATAAACACCAGACATGCAGGGTGACAGTCTGGATTTAATGTCTGTGTAGAGTAACTTGAAATTTGGGCAAGAATACCATGGACACAAGCTAAATAAACTTATTTATCAAGAAAATTTTTTATGAAGAAAATTGGTTTTAACAGATTAAAAAAATCTGAAAATCTATTTATCATGTATTTCAAGTTTTCTTTCTGTATGAGATGGAGAGGAATCTTAAAAAAAAATCACTTCTCTATTTTGAGTGTTGAGGCTTAACATATATTTTTCCAGGAATCTGTGAAGAAAGAGGGCTAATTATGAGAAAAGAGAAATTGTTCCTAAGAAGTGGTTATTTACATGTCTGCTTCTTTGGAAAAAGGAACTCTTTGTAAAAAAGTGAGAATTTGTTTTTATGAAATTTTACTTAGTTTAATTTCACAAGTTTTTTCTTAAGTGCAGAATAGTACTATTGAATTGTTTTGAGTGAGTACGTTTGCAGGATTATGACCTAATTCCATGGGGTTTGAGGTTTGATTTTTTTTTTGGTTAGTTGATTGTTCTTTCCCAATAGGCTCAAGATGGCATTATTGTACTATAAATTTGTCCCTTTTTGCTAGAAATACAAGCACATAATAATGACTGCATCTTATCTGATGTGAATCCCCAGGAAAATTAGAAAAACCAAAGAAGTGGAAGGATCAGCAATCAGCAGAAGTCCCCTTACACAGTACATGGAGGGGAAGATGTTGTGCTGTTTAATCTAAGGTGACTACATTGGTTAAAGATCTTTACTGGAGTATAAGGAACATGCAGGTGCACCTTGAAAGCAGGGAAAGCCTAAGGAGAGGCGAGAACACCTGAAAGCAAAATATCACAGTGTGAGAAATTTAATATGAACTTAGCTCTTGATTTTTTTTAGGACAAAACTGGGAAAAAGGAGGAGGAAAATAGCTGGTTGTGTTTACTGTATGTAGCCTTTTACTTCCATGAAACTGTTGGGGGGGGATGGGGGAAGCCAAGATAACTTCTTGTAATTCAGCATTCTCTAGACCCATGAGGTAGAAGGCTTTAATAGCAGTGAGACAATCCAATGTTCTACTGCTGCAAGATTTGGTAAGACCTATGGAATTCCATGGAGTTATTTGCATGAGATCAACCCTCCTTTCCTGTGGCATGTGTTTCCAAGCATTTGTGTATGTAAATCTTCATGTTTGCTTGTGAGTACCTCAAACCTCTCTATTTAGCTCAAAATTCAGAAACTGTGAAACAATGTACCAGTGTCTTATTGGTTTACTTAATGCTTTTCAATGTTGTGACCAGAATAGAATCTTCATGCCTCAGGGTTGTTTTTTCTATTAAGAAAGCTGTCAGCTTCTCCCTGCCCCCTGAGGTGTGTTCACAGTAGAGATGGTGTTTCTGGATTATAAAAACAACAGAACAGCCTCAGCTGAAAAAACGAGTACTTAAAACTAATAATAAGTAAGGAAAAAACCCTGTGCTATGTCTGTAACAGCAAGAGTGTTATTGACAAACCTTAGCTTTTAATATCTCTTGTCTCTTTTATTTTTCCCCAAATCATCCTTAAAACAGTAGTCCTGAATGTTTTTGAGTATGAAAGAGAATTATCTCCAAATCAGAATAAAATCATCTGGTTTATAAATCAATGAAAGAAGTTATTAAAACCAACTAACAGTCCATTCTTAGAATGCACTTCAGTTATTTTTCAAACTACACTGATGTAAGAATTTCTTCATTGCCATTTGTACAAACAGAGAATACTTGTTTACAAGTTACTAAAATATGATAACAAAAGTGATATTTTTCTATGGTTTACAGTTTAGCATTATATGAATTTAACATTGGAATTATCATCTTCATTTTAGTATAGGTTTTCAGAAAACACTTTTCTTTAGGAAGTGAAATTCAAATTATTGGAAAGCATCTTTTAGCTGAAGTCATATTTACTTTGGTTTTCATTACTCGCTTGGCTTATTTGGTGATGATGATGTATTTTCTGTTGAATGAAACATTCTTTTTTATTTCATAATTGTTCTTGTGGTGTAACTTAAGTTTTGCACATGAGCTGTAGGTAACTTTTTTCCATGATCCAGTTGTGTCCAAAACACCAGAATTCTTTCCAGGCATAGGAAGCTGACTGTTAAATGTGATGTGTTACTTCCAGCATCTCCAAACCACTGAGTGTTCTTGTGTGAGCTGTTTTCCTGGACCTTCTAGCATTGTAATTCCTCAAATAAAAGCAAAACACTGCCACATATCTCAACCACATGTATTACTGTCTAATGTGATTTATTTACCATGTCTGTCATGGTAGCTGGGATAGAAAAAGGAAAAAAAATGTAATTAAAATAAATATCCAGTTTCTTGAAGCAGAAAATGACTCCTACATAGTGTAAGCTTTTTAGCAGTGTAAAATAGTCGAATTCAGGAAAAAATGTCCTGGTTCTGCTGCACTGGCTCAACTGATACCTTATCTCATGGTCTGGATCTAGATTTCTGCGTAAATTTCCATGAGAAAAGACAAAATTATGGGGATGGGCTGTTTTTCATTAGCACATTTATTGTAATTTTATAACATGAGTTGAAGGACAAAGCCCCCAAATGCTCTCCAAAAGGGTTTCAAACTAAATGACCTTAAAACGACACAAGCAGGCAGTGACATATTGCAGATTATCTGTGCATATGCCAAGCCCCGGGGGCCAGCAGTCTCATGGAGTAGTCCCAATTACCTGCTGAAGTGTTCATGGAAATGCAGAAATGCTGGCCAAAGTGGGGCTTCAGGATAGGGTGAAAAATCCTCTTGACATGCTCATCTTAAAAACATTAAATCAGGAGGTAACTTAAGAGACCAGGTAAGAGCATGTTTCTTTTCTTTTTCTCCTGAAGGCTGAGATTCATTAGTTGTCATCTCCTAAATTTCAGATAATCGTTTAGGTATGCACTGTTAATTGAACTTCATTTTCCTTTGAGGTAACATCGACTTTACAAAAACACTTCTTCTCTAATCCCGCCTTGTTTTTTCTTACCCCTTGCCTGGTTTTATTTTTGCCAGTGCAAGTGTTTGTGGGGCAGATCAGATACACACAAAACCATGGATCAGTTTGGACCGGGAGAACCTATGATAAGGTATTCACCAAAGAAAAACCTGATATCCAGGGTTACCTTCCAATTAGCTCCCAGCTAATGAGCCTCAGCCGCTGGAGCTCGGAGGGCAGGGAGAACAAAGAGCAGCGAGCTTGGGGCAGGCCCGTGAGTCAGCAGCCCACAGGGACGGGCACACTTCCATCGAAAGCTTCAAACCAGCCGTGCAAGGGCTGGCCTGCTCGGTGCCTTGGTTAATCTTTGATAAGAGCTTCTGCTCTTTATACTGTGCTTAAATTTAATTCAAAGTGTGGAGTGGCACATGCACAGAGTGTGCAGCGTTCCAACTCTGCTGTCATCTTTTTACTGTGCTTAAATTTAATTCAAAGTGTGCAAAGCACATGCACAGAGTGTGCAGCGTTCCAACTCTGCTGTCATCTTTTATCATGTATCATTTGCTAAATAAAAAAATTCATGATTATCCACATGTTCCAGTGAAACGTTTCTGCAAGCTTTATCATAAATTAATCGGGAGAAATACTGCTCTTACCTTAAAAACTCGTATTTTGTAGCACTTCTATAATGAAATAAGGTTTTGCTTTAAGTTGAATTGCTTTCAGGACTAAGGATAGGTTTCCTTTCAGAGGACTGTTTAAAATAGTTTGTCTTTTATTAACATGCTAGTAAAGTTAACTGCCAGAGAGAGCACTGTTCTAGTGAATATTTGGCAAGAATGTTATCTGTGACTTCTGTCGGCCTGAATATTCAGACATGAGCTTTGCTTCATTTCTTCATGACAGCTAACAGTAACCAAGTTGAATTACTGGAAATTTATTTTCTTAGAATTTCTAAGAGCTGTTCTCCATTTTTATTGCTGGAACCACTTTCATGTGTGTGAGATAAATTGAATTGCCAGTTCTTATCAGCTGTCATTTAATGTCTGTATTAACAAGTAGATATATTAAAATCAGTGGTTGCAATCGGAAACTTCGCAGTACTGCTGAATTTCTCTAAATGTTTAGCAATGGAATCAATGATTTAAATATTCTATACTATCTCTTTTGTATTCTATATGTTTAATATGTGTGCGCAAGAAGCATCCTCTGATGAAGCAGGTCCACGCTCGGGGGAGGAGCGCTGAAAGGCGAGCACGGACGCTGCCAAGCCTGAAGTGTCCTGTAAGAGTCTGTGCAGCCCAAAACAGCGCCGGAGTGCGGGCAGCGCCTGCGGCCGGCCCTGGTGCTGCGGGGGCTGCCGCGTTCCTGCTGCGCCCCGTGCTCCCGCCGCGGAGCACTGCCCGGGGCTGCCACAGGCTCCCAGGGCCGCTCCCCGCCCGCGGCAGCGCGGCCACCC